TATATGTATATATATCGCCGTAATGTGAGCGTACAACTTCCGTTGAGTAGCGATTCAGCGTGGTAGACTTGACTCATTGCTGAATTATTGACTAGAACCGCGCTCAACAACGATGGGATTCACGCCAGATGCACTTCGAAAGAAATTCCGTATACGAAACAAACTTGTAAGAAATTGTCTAGCCGAATTCTTTGGCACTTTTCTATTGTTGGTAAGTTAATTTAATTGTTTCATTCTGCTTTTACATTGTCTAATTTTCTTTTGTTTCATAAGACCGCTGTGGATTTTCTGTTGGATAACCAAATTCATATTCTAATGCATTCAGTTAATTAGACTGACGATAAGCGATCATAAATCGTTTGATTGCATTCTTCGTGAAGCAGACCGTGATTCACTATTCCATTTATAGTATATCGGCTTGAGTATAATCGCACAATTAATTCTATCGAAAGAGAAACTCAATGTATGGATTAATATTAATATCGGATGGGGTTTTGATATCACATTCTCGGTGCTGGTCGTGCAAAGTTTGTCAGGTACATTTTGATCCGACTGCCGCTTTAATTCGTAGACTCTTCTGAATAATTCCTTTTGAGGTGGTCAGTTGAATCCGGCTATATCGCTCCTAATGTTCACATTAGGTGAACTCGAGCTATTCCACTTCTTCGCATATTGTGCTGCCCAAATGGTAGGCGCTTTTCTGGGTGCTGTCGCTACCTACATCACTTATATCGGTTTGTTCTAAAATTTATTCAGCACCTACCATTCTAACACTTCTTATCGTCACTTATCATAAATAGAGGTATATCATCAACATTTTCCTAAATTCTCGAATTGATGCAAAATATGAAAAGTAATGCACTATTTATTCGTAAGATAATGAGAGTAACGGCTGTAGTCAAAGCTGAAATTCCTTAATGATGATACGTTGTTGAATCAGCGAATAATTATCAGTACTTTCAATAAATCTGTTGCCGAACCGAATCAACAAAGTTTAGATGCGATAAACGCATATGAAGGTGGTACTTTGAATCGCACTGTATTTGGACCAACAGCAACCGCTGGAATATTTTCTACTTATCCGGCTGCACATCTCTCCATGTCAGCCGCATATATCGATCAGGTGCTTTACACTTGCACACTTTGTGTTTTTAAAAGAAACTTGAGGTTGTTTAAGGCGGCATCCAGATAATTTTAGTATAATAAAGATGAAGAAGCATGTTGATCGAACAACTTTGCATTGACTCACATCAGATCTTTTCAATGTGCAATTGACACATGTAGGTTGCTGGAACTGGTACACTAGCGTTGTTCGTATGCGCGATTGTCGACAAACGTAATAAGATTCCGAAGGCGGCACATGCGGTATTGTTTGGTTTGGTGGTTGTGTTGATCGGTTGCGCATTCGGCATGAATGTTGGGTATCCAATCAACCCAGCTCGTGACCTCGGACCTCGAATCTTCACCTGGTTCATCTACGGAAATCAAGTCTTCACGTAAGCCATTCTCTCCATGACATATCCACTCTCGAAGCAAATTCATTATTTCGACCAGCTGTACTCCGTAATTTTTAATCTCAGCGAAAAAATAGAGAACCTGGTTGATCTGAACGTTATATGAGACCTGTTACATATCGTTTGATCTCTTAATAACAATAATAATGCATCTTCAGGTACCCGTATTCATCATGGTTTCTCGTGCCAATAATTGGACCATGTCTAGGTGCAGTGCTTGGTGGTTGGATGTATTTCATTTTCAGTGGAATTCACATACCCGACTCGGAGGAATGCTTGCAGTACGACGTTGTGCAAACCAACGACGTTGAATTGGGTGCGATTGAATCGAAGATGGTGAATCAGTCTTAGGTGATTGATTCGAATTGAGCAACTGAAAAGAGCTGAAGACATAAACTACACGATTCGCAGTGATCACTTGTTATTCGAATTATGTTTTGTGCGAATCAATATTTTACATGTTCGAGGAAATTTATGTGAGACACTCGATGAGAATATTCAGTATTAGCTGTTTTTTTGATTTGATTGAAGAATAATTATTGGATCGATTGGAGAGGCAGGTAGGGCATTTACTGTTTTCGTATGACTTGTAATAATCAAAAATATGGATCACATTAAACCTGATTTTATTTACAGTTGGAATGAATACAAAATGGCATAGAATATGATATATATGTTACTTCACCGTTTAAACAAACGGGGAGATCCCGTAAGCAATATAAGTGAGATTGTAAAAAAGGGCCAGGATTAGTTGATTTTTATTTAACGTTCGGCTACGCATTGAAAAGAACCAGATCCACTGCTGCTGCATCGCTTTCTGTCGTCAAGTATCTGTCCATTGAAACCACAAAAGCAGCTTAGTGAATGACGTATGCTTCGCACCTTTCCATCAAACAACACTCTTAGGCTAATAATCAGTCATGAATAACAGTTCGATGATGGTGTTGAAGATACCGTCTTCCACCTCATTAACGGTCTGCGGTCGTTTCGACCCAGATTTCATCCGAATGAAGGATGTTTCCGATCAGAGAGTAAGTGAACAATGATATAATCACCTGTTCAAGCATCACTGTTCTAGCATATTACTTTGCCTAAATTTCGTAGTAGCAGTTTCACTCTTTCTATGAATAGAATCAAAATCAATCGTTTTCGCATGATTCGATGGTGCTGTCAGAACGCAGGTCATTAACGCAGAAAATGAACGGTGAATCCTACTGAAAAAAGGACAATCAGTTCCTTAATGAGCATTAGAAGAAATTCATTGATTAGAAGAGAGAGATCAACTTTTGACTTCTTTGACCCATTCGAAGAGATCAACTTTTCTCGACCAAAAAGGTCACTGATTGGAATTAATCAACGAAAGCTTCTGTTTAACACCGACGATAAAATCGAGTCATGTAAAGTAACTAAGTTGTGCATGAAGTTTTCATTCAATTTGCAAACTGATTGATCAGTATAATATTAAATATGACCTTTTTTCATTGCATTCGCGCTGCTAATTTGTTTAGGAAACAAC